TAATCCACCAACATACCCTCTCGTGTGCAGATGGAGCAGGGGTAGAGTACTAAACTTTTGAAATAAACTTCACAGTGATATTGTGGGATACTGATCAATATTTGATCACATTTAAGCTAATCAGGTAACTCTTCATATTTATTTTTTTATCCTTTACACATTATCTTAAGTAATAAAGTTAAATATATTTGTAGTTTTTATGAGCGTCATATCAAGACTTGCAAACATCAATACCCATGGAAGCCTATAGAGATGTCCAATTGTGAACTTCATGTACTGTCATCTTTTGTTTTGTAATTATTGAATGGCACCAAACTGATAGGGTCAAATTACAGTTTCATCTCTTCCAAGAAGTTTTTTCTCTCCCTAATAATTTGAATGACCTCCACAAAATTGACATGAGAGGAAGATAGGATGAAAATTATGATATAAGACATGCTCAATAGATGGAGATATGGAACAACAGACGTGAGCTGACAATAACGGGTCATCCAATGTAAAGCGCATTGTGTCATACACAAGAATACATGGAATGGTACATTGTCAATTCCATCTATTTCCTATTTGTGCTACCACTACTATAAGATCCAAGGAAGAGCGACCAACAACTAAAGACTACCAACACATTTGAAATTGGTATGACTTCCACACCGTCGTATCACTATAGTGCATCAATTCCTCTGAATATTACGCCAAAAATAAACATAATTAACATAAGACATTCGTTTACAACAACATGGGAGGATATTTTTACAAACTTATTTGGAGTTGATTTTATAACTTCATCTTTAGCACAAATTTACATGCAGTCTCTTTACTAACTGGATTTTGCTAATGAACCTGGTAATTCATCAAATGCATTCCAACAACTAGACCTTCATGATAATCCAAATCTCCCAAAAGTTTATCCTGAAATTCCAGAGCAACAATTACAACGACAAAATCCACCACGTCACAAACGTCGCCCTCGTTGTGGAACTGACCACCATTACGGAGATAGTTAATTATTAATGTTATTATGAATTTGTTATCATCTTTATTAATGCACTTTGTCTTCATCAATATTACCTTTGTAATATGAAAACGTTAATTTCAAATATTTGTCTCAACTAAAAATAATTTTAACTTATAATTTAATATTTTATTTACTTTTTAAAAATAAATTTTTTATTCTCAAATAAAATTTATTCAAAATTATAATACTAAAGTTTTAGGGTTTAGGGTATTAAAAATTATAATATTAAATAATGTCATTTAAAAAAAATTAATTTAATTAAAATAAAATTTTTATTCAAAATATCATTTTATCATACTAATATTTCAAAATATTAAGTCAAAATTACATATTTAAATAAATAAACAAAATAATATTTAATATATTTATTTAATTTTAAAAAATATATTTATTATTCTTTAAGTATAAATAATTTAAGCATTAACATTATTATCTAAAATAATATACTTATTATTTAAATATTTTAATTAATTTTTTAAAACTATTTAAAATAATTTACTTATTATTTAATTATTTTAATTATTTTTTAAAAATGAATTATTATTATTTTCTAAAAGTATTATTTATTATCTTAAATATGTCAAATAAATTTTAATAAATATTTAAAATTAATATTATTTTTATTTTTATTCATTTTTAAATAATATAAAAATATAAATATAATTCAAATAATAAACTTATTTTATTATATATAACTAACAAAATATTTATTAGAATAACATATTATAAATATTTATTTTAACAAAATAAAAATATATAAATATAATTTAAATAATAATATTTATTTTATTATATAAAAACATAAAATAAAATTAAAAAAAAATAAACTCTGAATTCAGTTCCTTGGTGGCTAAAATTTTGAGTCTATTTCAGTAATTAAATTGACATAGAGTCTATTTGAGTTTTTTTTATATATAATTTTACTGTGAAAAAGTCTCAAATTTATATGGTTGATATTTTCTTTTTTTTTATTAAAAAATAAATGTCGAATTTTTTGGTAAAAAATAATGTAAACTAGAAAAATATTTCGTATATACTATATTTTAGTATTTTTTTATTTTTACCTTATTTTGTTAAAAAAAATCCATTTTTTGGGTCTCTATAACACTAGTCAAAGAATTATCAGGAAAAAAATTTATTTGAAAATTACTTTAATATGTATGAAAAACCATAAAAAATTCTTTGATAATATTTAAAAAAAATCTTTATTTTTTATTATTAAACCAACGATCTAAAACCAGTTGTTAACATATACCCTTTTGTTTTTCATATTAGACAGCCACCTCTCAAGGGATGGGAACATAGGAAAAATCCGCAAACAAGGGTAAAGAACCATATTTGGCTATTTCTTAAGATCAAAAAGATTATTTTACTATTTCAAGAATTAAATCAACCAACACTCGTATTTTCAAAAATATTGTTAGTTAATTTTTACTTCCCTCAAAATCAAATTCATCCACCTCAAAATTAATTTTAAAAAACACAATTAAGTTACATGTTAATGCCAAATCACGGGAATTTCTCTTGGTAGCAAACAAAAATTGGGGATTTCTTCAAATTTGCTCTGAAAGCATTTCTAAATAAGATATAGTCATCTACAAATAAAACAATGGAAGTGCAAGTGCAAGTATAAATATCATATAACATTCTCTTAACATTTTGTAAAAAAAAAACAATAAATTTAATACTTGACATGCATAAAAAAATTAATATTTTCTACATTTAATGATGAAAATTTATTAGAAGGGTGTCATAAAAAAATAAAATTATTATAAACAAAATGGCCTTGGTTAGTAATTATACAAGTGAAGAATGATCTTATCATTTTGGAGACAAGATATTCTAACTCCTGACCTCCCTGTCCCCACCCAATTCCCCAGAAAATGATTTTTGACGTCACTTCATATGTACACTCCATTAATCAAACTCACCATTCTCATCCATTCACTCCAAAATTCAAAAGATGCAAATTCTGTGAAAGAAAAGACGAGATATAAAAGCTTCAGAGGAAAACTGGACTCATGATAAATGACATATATTAAAGATAAACAAAATAAGTTACGATGTCTAATGTTGCTACCCTGTCCTCTCCAAATGGTCCACCACCTACACAAACTATGTTAGCCACTTACTATGTTTTCTTCTGTTCATGATACTCTAATATTCTTTTATATATTATTATTCTATATTTTATTTATATTCACATTTTCTATTACTCTAACTTTTTTTTATATTATTCTTTTAAAACTCAGCCTTCACTACCAAATAAGATAATTAATTTGTATTACAGCACATTAAAACTTTTAATTAGCTTTTAAACTCTAAAACTTTTCTTTCTCTATTTTAATCATCCAATTTTAAAAGTTATTTTATGAGAGCCCTTTGAAAAGAGTTAAAATGTCAGCTCTGAGGAAAAGATAAATAGTTGTTTACTGTTCTAAGATTTCCTCAGAAACCGAAAGCTATCAATAAGCAACCAAATGCATTTTCAGACTGGAAATCATGAAAAGAATAGAATACAACATTGAGAGATTAAAATGTTGCTACATGTAAAGTTGTTCCATGGGCACAAGTAATGTTATTTGATGATTTAAGACCAGTGAAGATAACTTGACCGATAAGTTAGCACGTTCCCGCACATACAAAAGGATAATCGTGAAACGCCCTATGAGAAAGAACACGAGAGTTATAATATGAATGCAAATTAAACGATACCAAGCCACTTGTTACTCAAATTAATTTTTGTTGATACATCTACGCATATTTTGTTATTTTAATTTTTAAAAAATATAATAAAAATCTAATTATGTAATATTTAACCATTGCAGGTTGAAAAAAGCATAACTATTTATGTGAATGCTCAGTGATAGAAAGTGTCCTTTACTAAAGGTTTGCATTTTTTTATTTTTTGTTATTTTAATATATATAATTTTTTAGATTTAGGAAAATTATTAAATTATTTTAATAAAAATAAGTTATAATATAAAAAAATTAAAAATTAAAAAAATTTCTTTTAGAGGAAACAAAAACTTTGTAAAAAACGTGAAACTAAAAACACAATTAAATTAAATAAAAATTAAATTTTTTAAAATAAAATTGTAGCCCTAGTATTTTAAGATTTTGTTAGTAATATATTCCACAACATATATTTCTCACACATATTTTAGTTAAAATTTATTTTAAAGCATACAATTTTTTGTAAATCTCACTTTAAACTTAATAATTTTAACTAATACTAATACAATTAATAATAATTTTTAGGTCATAAATAAAAATATAAACAAATATTTCTAATAATTCTTTTGATACTTCATTATTTTCTTTTTTTTTGCATAAATTTTTTATTTAGTAAAAAGATACCAATAATACCTTTTTAATATATTATTCATAATACATATTTTATAATTAGTTTAAATTCATAGAAAATCATGAAATTATAAGTATATTTTATTAAATAAAAATTGTGACTCACATAATTTTATAATTTTTAATAAAATTTAATTAATATAAAAATATATTAAAAATTATATAAAATGGATGATTGTAATTTTTAATTATATTATTAGTTTTGATAAATGTAATGTATTTTGTAATATGTTTTTATAAATTTTTAAAAATTTAATTTTTAAAATATTAAAATGTTAAAATTTAATCTATGTCATTAATTCTTTATATTAATTGTTGGCTGATGAGAAATTAATATTCTTACATGTCATATTATTTAATTTTTAAAATATATTAAACTTAATTATATTTTTTATCTTAGCATTATTTTGTTATTATAATATTATTTAATTTTTAAATTTTTTTTAAGTTTAATTATATTTTATTTTTATAGAAAAATTTATCATTTTTTTCGTTTTTAATCAAATATTAAGAAGTTATAATCATAGAGTTGACCGCACTAAATCTAAATTCTTAATATTTCCGGATTAAATTATAAAAAAAAAAATATTATAAGGAAAGACTCAAGAGTATATTTGACAGATGTGGAAGAAAAATTAGGGTTTTGTGAGCTGAGAGTGAGAGCAACAATGGCGCCGAAGCAGGGGAGAGTGAGGGTTAGCAGAAACCCAGAATTGATTAGGGGAATTGGAAAATACTCAAGGTCTCAGATGTACCATAAGAGGGGTCTCTGGGCCATCAAGGCTAAGAACGGTGGCTCTTTCCCTTGCCATGATTCCAAGCCCAAGCCTCAAGCACCAGCTCAGAAACCCCCTAAGTTCTACCCTGCTGAAGATGTCAAGAAGCCTCTTCTCAACAAGCACAAGCCCAAACCTACCAAGCTCAGGTCACTCATTTCTCTTCAATATCAATGCCTATTTTCGTTATCAATTCTCAATAACAGTTGGTGTTTTTAAACAAGTTATAATCTGATATGAAACCTAAGGTTGTCTAGATTGGGATTTTAGGTTGCGAATGAGCCCTATTTATTTCTTTTTATTTCAATTGTACTTTTCTTAACTTGTTTAGATTGAGAAGATGTGTCTCCGATTATCTTATATGGTTTATGTTGTGGTTTTCAGGGCTAGCATTACTCCTGGGACTGTGCTGATTCTTCTTGCCGGCAGATTTAAGGGAAAGAGAGTAGTGTTTCTTAAGCAGCTTCCTTCTGGATTGCTTCTTGTAACTGGTACCCCTTTTTAATCTTTCTGTTAAATTAGTTATTTATTTATTTTCTGCGTGTGTGCATTTGAGTGTTACTGCTAGAATGGCTTGGAGCGTTATACAATTTCTTTGTGAATACTGAGTATTTTAATAAGGATCAGTTTAATGTTTACTATGTAACCTACATTTTATTACTTGAATTGACTTTTACTGTTATTTCTTCACATTCTTAATGGTGTCTCCCTTACTATTTTCTTTTGTGCATGTCTGTCTGTTAATGGTAGTGATTATACGTTTGGGTGGTTTCTTTAACCTCCTTTCACTAAAGCTTTTGGTACCAATTGATTTCTGTTTGAAGGCACAACACTCTTCCTTTAAAGATGTACCCTGCTTTCCAGTCTTCTCTGCCCATTTTTCATAGGCTTCTTTCTCACCATTTCAGGTCCTTTCAAGATTAATGGAGTTCCTTTGAGACGCGTGAATCAGTCTTATGTGATTGGCACATCAACCAAAGTAGATGTTTCTGCAGTTAATGTGGATAAATTTGATGACAAGTACTTTTCAAAGGAAGCCCAGAAAAAGAAAACGAAGGGAGAAGGGGAGTTCTTTGAGGCAGAAAAGGAGGTTAGTTTGTCAAATTTTGTAGTTTCCCCCCTCTTGTTTCAGTAATTTGATATGACATGTTATTGGCTGATGTGTGATGTGTGCTGATCTTTGCCATGTTCCAATGTAGGAGAAAAATGTGCTCCCCCAGCAAAAGAAAGATGACCAAAAGTCTGTAGATTCTGCATTGATAAAAGCAATCGAGAGTGTTCCAGATTTGAAGGTTTACCTAGGTGCCAGATTTTCCTTGAAGGCAGGGGTGAAGCCTCACGAGCTAGTCTTCTAGAAGAAACTATCGTTAGAATTGTCTTCCTATATTCTTTTTTTTTGGCTGAACTTTGATCTTATAGTTGCATTCGTTGGTAATAGACATCTGAAAACGTGAGTTTTATTTATGTTAACAACAGATATTGTTCCAGGGTTTTTCCTTCAATTCTGCATATGCATATATAACTGTACTTTCATTTACCTTTATGCATTACTACAGCTTCTTCTAAGATCTAGTACGCGAGTTGATGTCAAGTATTCCCAGAAGTTTATAGTATACTACAAGAAACCATATTGATCAAAGCTTCAACCAGATTAATTCTCCACCATATCTTGCTCTTTCAAATTGTTTTTAGATATACTAGCAACTCACTATATATACCACAAATTCTTTACAATGCGCTTCAAGAAAAACTCCTCTTACTCGAGAATTTGAGATGTACTTCACGGGAAAACGAATATAATTAATGATATTCCTGGGAAGAAATGTTTGAGAAAGGACAAGGCACTGGTTAATATATATAGGCATCTGTTTATTTATGACTGGCACTTCTACAAAATCCGAAAACTCTTCTTAGTAATATGCCTATGCCCCCTTCACATTCTCTTAACTCAAGATTATTTACATATAACCTCTAACTCCTAAATATATATATATATATATATATAGTGACATAGCAGCTAGATTTGTGTTTGCTAAAATCAACTTAGTGATTTAAGTGTAGAACTTCCTAACTAGCTTCAAAGTTCAGAATTCCAGAATGAGCACTGTGGATGGTGCTTTTTACCAAAAATTAATGTAAATTAGAAAATCAGGGATTTAATTAGGGATTGGCGGATTCTTTTTGGCGGGAGTGCAGTTCATTGGAACCAAGTCATCAATATCTTGTTCTCCTCTCTGGTTTGGCTTAAACTGGTTTCCGTGGCTATTCTCAGCCGAAACTTGAGTTGATCCATCCATTGTCTCTCGCAAACTTTTCTCTCCGCAAGAAAATACCAATGAGCACGTATATTATATACATTTGGTTTAATTATGTACTCATCAGTTATAATTTGAAGGAAAAAGTATGTTTTAATTATTGTAAATATGATTTCAGTGTTTTAATTTTTTTTTTTATTGATTTTGATCATTATAAATTTTAATAATGATGTGATATACATTTAGCCAAGCTATATCGTATACTATGGGTGGTGATAAGAATTATTTAAAATTAAATAAATACATAGAGGAAATTGAGCTCACCTATAGCAATAATAGAAATGAAACAAAGCAAGAAAAAAGTGATCAGAAGAAGGTGGTTTGCTTCCAACAAGCTTGCATCTATGGTGTACTTGTTAAGGATACACCAATCCACCTTTTCCCTGCTAAGGTCTCTAATCCTATGTTTTCTTGTTTGCACGTCTAATTAGGATATTTTTTATGAAGTTACACACTCTCCTTTAGGAGTGGATACTTACAATAGCACTTTATAATCAAGTAAGTATTTGGTATAAAATAATAAATGTTATTTAATATTTTTTTCTACCTTTTTCTTGTCCTTCTTATTTCCTTTTATAGGTAATATATATTGGGCCTAGTGGATATGTTAGGCTTGACAGGTCAACCATAGATTATTTATCTAATAATTCATATAATTAATCTTGCTAACCTAATTTAATCATAATGTTAATTTATCTTAAGGTGGCCGAAAGGATATGCGACACCATCCGTTCGAGGGTGAGGTCGAAGGAGTGGTTGGTACCCTTCGTCTTGATATAAGGCGAAGGGGTGGTTAGCATAGTTGTCAATAGCGGCGCGATATATTGTGCTGGCACGGCACGGTGCGGCCTTCGGCCGCCACTGCAGTTTCGATGTGGAGCAATTTCGTCATCGCGCAGATTGTGGGTGAAATAGCGGCGACCTGAGATGGAAGATTGCGTGTCTATCGCGATTTGGGGAAGGAAAAGAACTAACCCTAGTTGCTTAGTAAAATTGTACGTTTTTATTTTTTAAAACACTGCATTTTGCTTTTTTTAAGTGTAAAAATGTCATTTAACCTTTTCTAAAACTTATAAATATAATACAAATATAAATCATCTTCCATCTTTCATCTTTGTCTTCGCAGTCCACTCTAAAGCATAGGAAGTTTCGATTTCTCCCTTTCACTCCTCTTTCCGGCTCACCCATTCAATTTTGCCGGCCAAATAAGCTTTTCCAGTACATCTTCTCTGGCCTTTCCTCTCCGGCATCATTGTTCACCAGAGTAATGAAATTTTCTAGCCCATTTCCCCTGCTTTCTGTTCACTGCAGCAAGCTCATTCTTTTGTTTATGACTTCATGCTTTGCTGATGTTAAAACTTTAGTTTCTATTCACACTCTCCTTCTTCATTCATGATTGCATGCACTATTTTGCAGAAAGAGATAAAGTTTTGTTTTCTCTGGTGTTTGGTCATATTCTATTTTTCTGGTCAGGACTTCAAGCTTTGATTTTTTACTCATCCTCTTTGCCTTGGAGTTGAAACTATGTTTTCTTGTTTATGGTTTGATTTTTTCTTGCACTCTCTTGTTCATGCCCTCTTTTGCTGAAAGAGAATTATCTGCACACTCTCTTATTTGAAAAGAAAACAACCCACGCTCTTCGCTGTTTTAGACTTCTAGTCCCATTCCATGGCATCTTCTCAACAAGGACAAAAGCAAGGAGCTTCTGCAATTACTATTTGTGGCTTAGTGAAGCCCACTGGAGAAAATATTGACATAGCTTGGCAATGGAATAGCCTCAAAGATATTAACAACAAAAAGAATGTTACATGTGACTTTTGTTTAAAAATCACAACAGGGGGGATTACAAGAGCAAAAAGGCACCAAATAGGAATAAGGGGTGATGTGGGTGCTTGTAAAAAAATTTCATTAGAGATTAAGAAGAAGCTTATTGAAGTATACCAACAAAAGAAGGTTGAAAATGAAAAAAATACAGTTGATGAATTGAAAGAAGATGATGATGAGGAAGAAGAGGTTCAAGAAATACATTTTGTTCGGGCCAGAAAAGACCTATAAGCGAATCACTTACTGTTAGTTATGTTGTAAAGAAGGGAAAAAATGTAAAAGGTCCTTTGGATTTGTTACTCGTGAAGAAGTCAGAAGCATTAATTAAATTGGAAAAAAATCGAAGGCAAACAAGCATCAAGGATGCTTGTGACAAAGAAGCAAGGATAATGACAATTCAATAAATTGAAAAATTCTTCTATAGAAACTCAACCCCATTTAATGTGATGAAGTCTAAAAGCTTCAAGTTCATGGTTGAAGCAATTGGAAATGATGGTCCACACTTGAAACCACCAAGTTATTATGAAATGAGAGTTCCTTTATTAAAAAAGGAATTAGAACTAACAAAGGAAATGATGAAACCTTTGGAGGTAGAACGATTGAACTTTGGATGCCCTATTATGTCAGACAGATGGATAGATAGAAAGAATAGGACATTGATTAATTTCTTGGTAAATTGTCCTCGTGGCACAATGTTTGTAAAGAGTGTCGATGCTTCTTTATTTGTAAAAGCTGGAGAAAAATTGTTTGAGCTGTTAAATTCCTTTATAGATGAGATGAGAGAAGAAAACATTGTCCAAATAGTGACCGACAATGATAGCAACTATGTTTTGGCCGATAACAACTCAGAACTTCAACTTAAGTTTTTAAGTATTATACACAACAAAAATATTCTTTTATTGTTTTTATCTTAAATAAATTGTTAAAATCTTGTCTTAGGAAAATATTTACAAGCGAAGAGACCACACCCATTTTGGACTCTATGTGCAGCTCATTGTTTAGACTTGATGTTGGAGGATATTGGGAAGATTTCAAAAGTCTAAAGAACCATACAAAGGGGTTGTCCTCTTGTAAGATTCATATACAACCACTCCTTAGCTTTGAACTTGATGAGAAAGTTCACAAAGAAAATAGAATTAGTTAGGCATGAAGTCAATAGATTTGCAACAACATTCCTTACTTTGCAAATGTTGCAAAAACAAAAAAGCTTGTAGACAATGAAAAAAGGCCAGCAATGGGATATATATATATATGTGTGTGTGTGTGTGAAGGAATGGATAGAGAAAAGGAAGCCATTGAAAGAACCTTTAACAAAAATGAAGAGAAGTATAAGAATATATTTGAGATCATTGATAGAAGGTAAGAATGTCAACTTCATCATCCACTACATGTTGCTGGTCATTTCTTAAACTCCAAATTCTATTATTCCAATGCAAGTATTAAGTTTCATCCAGAAGTGACACATGGATTATACAAGTGCATTGAGAGATTGAGTAGCTTTGAAGAAGAAGTGGATAAAATTATAATAGAGCTGGCCACATACAAAAGAGCTGATGGAATATTTAGTTTGAATGCAGCTATAAGACAAAGGCATACTTTGGCTCTTGGTTAGTTTAAAGTTTTAAACCAAAAAAGTTTGATTTCCTTTTAATGTTGTTTTTTATTTTTTTAATTGAATAATGTCAATTATTTTAATAACATTATAGCTGAATGGTGGAGGAATTATGGAAATCAAGTTCCAAACTTGCAAAAGCTGGCCATTAAGGTGTTGAGTTTGACTTGTAGCTCATTGGGTTATGAGAGAAATTGAAGTATTTTTTAACATGTAAGTAACTAACTTCTAATTAATAATTATTTTTTAATTTATATTAATTGGTTGTGAAAAGATACTAACATTTTTTTAATTAATAATTAGATTCACTCTAAGAAGATAAGCAAATTAGAGAGCCAAAAGTTGCAAGATTTAGTTTATATCAAGTACAATCAAAATATGCTAGATCGTTATAACAGTCGTGATGTGATTAATCCCATTGTTTTGGATGATATTGACGATTGCAATGAGTGGTTGATTGAAGAAATGAGAGGAGAAAATACGAAACTTGGTGAGTTGTTGCGGAAGCTACTAGGGCTGATGAGCCTATTGCTTGCACTAGACAACAAAAAATACTAAAGAAGAAAGCTGCTACTACTTCTAGCTCTAGAAAGGGGAAGAATATTATGCAAGATGAAAAGCAAGAAATTAAAATAGATGAAGAAACTAAAGAGGAAGAGGAAGAACACATCTACACAAGTAGTGTAGAGAGTGACAATGACAACAAAAAGGAGGATTTTCAATCAAAGACAGAATCTGATTAAATTATTAGATTAGATTAGAGTTAGGGATAAATCACTTTTAAACTTTAACTTTATCCTTAGGAAACATTTTTTATTTAATAACTCTCATGCTATATTGTTTTGCACTTTTACTTGGAACTATGATTATGTAAAATTTCTTAAGTATTTGTATTTAAATTTTGTGCACATAACATATATATATATATATATATATATATATATATATGTTACAAATTTTTAAATAGCAATCATCCCGCTATACGCTATTCTGCTATAGTGTTTTAGGGGTTAGCCGCTATTTACCGCTATCCAAGATTAACAACTATAATGGTTAACACTCTCCAATCCATGGGTGAGGCCGAGTAGATACTCGACCCCTTTCAGCTTTAAGAGTGGCCGAGTAGGACCCTATTCAGTGCATATGGTATTACTACGAAACCTTGAACTTGCTCATGAAATCTTCTAGTTGCCCTCTTTTTATAGGCAGGAGGGACATAGTTGCTAAAGACATGGGGTGCATTGGACTCTTCCAGAACAAGAAAAACAATCGTTACAATTTTCATTCAAATCATTGTTTCCTGCTTTATTCTGCATGAAAATGACATCCCTTACCTGAAATTGCTACAGGAGTTCCATCAACTTCTTCCTCCACCAATGCATCTC